TTGGTAAAGTAGGCATCATTGAAAGCTTCACTTCGTTCCTCGGTTTATAGTTCCTCGGGTTATAGACCATGATCTTTGACGTCACATAAAATCTAACATACTTTTCTTTTATAAATTCTTTTTTTTATATTTTGAAAATTGAGAAAGAATTTTTCAACCATAAGTGTAGAAAATGGGGATGAAGTTTTTAACGTAGGTCGTTAAATGGTAATTTCGACCACATTTTAGTTGTTACTTTGATTTGTGATAGACTAATTCACTCAAAACGGTAAAATAATTAAACTTACCTAATTAAAATACCGACTTCAAATGTTGAGTTTGCGGTCAAGTCGGCGGGAGAGCAATTTTCTAGGCCTTACGTCTCCTTTTCTGCTAAGGAATTTGTGCTAAGGATTTGTCTAGGTAGATACCCTCTGAACTTCATCTACCGTCAAAAGTAGTGTTCTGGTCAGAACGGTAAAGAGAACCAGTATAATAACAGACTATAAGCAACTCCTAGTCCTCAAAGATGACAATGCATCTGTAGCCTTCTTTGTGTGTATTTAGCTGCAAGTGGCCATAACCACTGCATTAACCACTTCAGGTCGACTGTAAGTTTATTTTTCACTGCAACACACTCTCTGAACTTTGACCGTGGAAACCCCTTAAGCATAACGAGAGAAGAGATATCTTACGTATCCTGCATTATTTTTTTGCAATAAAATATTTTTAGTAACACAATCTTTAAAATATGGTACAAAGAGTAGAATACAATACAATCATTTAAAAAAAAATTGGATTACATGCAAATTTTAAGCTGTATTACTGATTCGGAAAAAACCTCTGTCAAAATTAAAAATGTAATTAACAATATATATTATACAATTAGTACGAAAAAAAAACTAGAAACAGCATGAAAGTAATCACCTCATTTCCAGAGGTTATCATCAATTATAAACTCTTTTTAGTAATATAAAAACCGTAACTAAACAATTTTTGCTTGATGAATTTTTTAAACATTTTGATAAATAAGTCTTGCATTGCACTGCATTATTCTGGCATAGTTAGTAGGGCATCAGAAATAATTGTAAGCTCCATCGCGTAGTTACTGAAACATAAAGCTAATTTACTGAAGACGAGCTCCCTTAATGACAACCCGTTACCTCGCAGTAATTTTTCCCTCTACCCGCAAACCTGTTATGTATTCATGACACGCGCCCCGTAAAACACAAATATGTCGCTAACTACACCAATTATACCAGAATAAGCTCCAACAATTTGCTAGTCTTGTGAGGTTTTAACAAAATCATATCGTAAAAAACACGCATAAAAATTTCACATGATATTTTATGATGCATGATACACATTTTCAAATGAATAATATGAATATAGGATTTAGAGAATTTAATTTGCATTATCTGTTCATCCATCAAACAATTGGCGCCTATAGCTATCTACTGCTGTACACAGGCCTCTTATAGATTGGATAACTCCTCAAAAGGAGAATTTCACCATAGTTTCTACACTTGACAGGCAGGTAGTCAAATACAGTTTTTATAAGTTTAAATAGTTGTCAGGAAGATGCTGCTGCCCATCTTCTGCTGTCCTTCTTCTGTCGCCTTTTAAGACACTCACGAAACCAAATGTGATGAGTTAAAAAGTGTTTACCATAAACGCCACGCTTGGTAGGTGGATGGACAATCCCGTACCAGACAACTAATACCTATGGCACTGCACTACGGTGCAAACGAGGAGCAAACGAGCATACAGCTCCCTTATAAAAAGTGTCGACCGCATTTAGTGCACTGCGGACCTTTAAAAAAAGGATGTTCATTTCTTGAGAGTACCAAGTCGTATCGGTCCAGAAAAATTGCTGGGCCATTGGTCGATTCCCTAATGAATTTGTGGAGGATGAAAAATTCTAGTAAATCGCACAGTGGCTTACCCCCGATTATCGAGATAGTATGGATTGTATCGCGACGTTTGTCTTATTTCTTAAAAGACCTGCAATGCATCTGCAACTCACCGGTTTTGCAGTTGTTCATAGGCGGCGGTAATTACTCGCCATTAGAAGAGTCAAGCTCGATTGCCCCCTCTTATATTGTAGTAAAGTAATAAAAAGAGCAACACGTCTCCTTTTCCATTTAACACCTTTCAACAATACAATATAAAAAAATATTACTTCCGACGGCTGCGTGTCGGTGTCCTTATAAGCTTAAAGTTGATTGTTGGTCCTTGGGCTGTAGTAGTCTTGCCTTTTCACTAAAAAAATTATCAAAGTTAACTTTTCAATATACAACGTCTTACTATATACAGTGATACTTACATATATCCCTCTTAAGTGGAAATCGTCTGTTCTACTGAACCCACACCACGTTCCTCCGACTGCGCAGCAATTCGCTGAATAATAAATGATACTAACCAACTTCGCGCCTGTACCGACACTAGCTTTCACACTTAAAAACTTTGAAACGACCTCATCTTAAATATTTCATCAATGAAAATTGAACTTTAAAAGCAACATACTACAGTTTATAGTTTACGAATGTTTGGAAAAGGGTTCAGGGCCTGGAATGTACAAGGAATTCTGAATTAGACATGTTACGTTAAAAGCTTAATGTGCTTAATAGGAACGTATACCGGTTCGGTGCATTTTCTATAAATAAAGATTAAAAAAGCTTTTCATTATTTAACGTAGAATATCAAACTTTATTTTAACCAATTTTTTATCTATACATATAATAAATCTGTAGAGAAATCGTGTATGTATGCATTCTAATATATTATTTAAGAAACAAGTCCAGGAGACAAAATAAAGGGTACTTACTGAAGCCAAATTAGTGAATTTTAAAATGTTTATCTGTCTGTCTGTATATTCAGAATTCATGCAAAATCTACTGCACCAATTTACATGAAGTTTTGTACGAAGGTAGTTAGTAACCAAGAGCAATTTAAAGACAAATTTTTATCCGATTACCGAACTTAAAATAAAGAAGTTTACGTATTTTCCTTCCTTTAGATGTTAATTTTCTATTATATATGGTTATGTTAGTTGTAGGCGGAATAACACGTGTTTTTTCCAAATAAATACCATATTTATAAACGTTAAATATTAATAAAATACCATCGAATGGAAAAAGTAGTATATTTTGTCTTCAGTTATTACTAATTAAATAATATAAATAACTTACATTAATAATATATTTAAAAACTTTTGGTACATCCAAATGTACACGATATTTTAAAGTATTTTTAATACACACAAGTTCTCACAAATAACCATTTTATTATAACTTATGATTTTCCGATAATTTTATGTTAAACGTCAATAAAAAGTTTGGAAAATCCAGAAGTGCACGACATATGATCATGAAAAAATATAAAAAATCTCAATAAACAATAAAAAATATTATTTCTAATTTTACTATATCATTATTATTGAGATTCGATTTTTTATTATTGTTAATTAATTAAAAAACTCAACAAAATTATTTTAAAATGATCAGAAATCAACTTTATTATTACTTTAATTTTTAGTTATTGTACTCAGGCATGACGGAATTGACGGCTCCGTGGCGTTGAGGACCGCAGTTTCGAAACGCACACGGAATAATTATTTGTGTGGCCTACAAGTAATTGTTCCGGGTCTGGATGTTTGTCCTTGTGCAATTGATGTATATAAACTGTATCCACGACACAGGAGTAAATCCTAGTCGTTTTTTAAAGAATAAGAGGGCATTATCGTAAAAGCTAGTCTTTTTTTTACCTGACTCGTTAGTGATTTCTTTTTTACATCAACTTTATATCGTTTTCAAAAAGTCTTTCATCTAATCATATCTAACCAGTTGGTATTTTAATTTAGTATTCACTAAGGTCACTCCATAAAGTCCGAGGTGTATAAGTATATATATACATATAAATCCCAGGTACTTTTAGTGAAACAAAGTGTTATAATGAAAATCTGTGATTACAAAATAATAATAATAATAATAATAATAATACACCTTGGTCAAGTATGTATCAAATTGGGTTTTGGAATATTTTGTATTTCTACAGCGATGGATATTTTTCATCACGAGCCGCTGTAAACAAACGATACAGAAACCCACTCACGACGGCGGCCAAAGCGTATAATATTATCCCTTTCAGAACGACGAAAACTTCTCCCGCTTCTCAAAAAATTTACATAAAATTCTAGATACAATAGATAAAGCATTTAGGAAAAAATAATAGAAAAAATTCCCCCTCTTTAAATTCCGCTGTAGCTGTAGTTTTTAAGTTTGCTAACGCACGATCGTGCATAGGGAATACAACTGTAAAAAAAATGTTTTCTAATATATTTATTCAATTATTATTAAAGAAAATATTACTTTTTATAACACAGTATTTTGATATTAACTTCTATTTCAATGAATATTTGGTCTTTTTACACATAAATTACTGCTAAGTCTACATAAATCAGTCACTTTCATATAATGAACAAAGAAAAATATAATAATTACGATCATAAGTACTATTATCTTCAAAATAAAAAGTCATTCTAGACAACAAAAATCAAACTTAAATGGTAGTATAGTAAATAAAACAGAACCGAACTAAAAATTAACCCGTCACTTGTTGTAATGTTGTAGTTTTTTAATCCGAGTGGTCTCGGTTTATTCTTTATTATGACTCGCAATTTACGTTTCCCCGTGAAATGTATAATATGTTCATTGATTGAGTATTCACCTGCCACCCTTTTGAGTGATAAGCAAGCCTTCTTAACAGCGTCGAGAATGTGCTGTACCTTCCACAGCGGATTTGAATTTCCTGAAGGTGGTTCGTCTGTGGGTACTACCTGCATGTTATTCCTTAATAAGAAGTAACGGCCTCTTGGCATTTGACTAGTGATTATTTCCAGGCGCATATCTGTACGCCAGTATATAATATTTATTCATGGGTATGGTATACAGCCCACCAATAAAATTATACCAAATAATTTGCGCATCTCTTGAGAGGTTGTGCTTAAAACTGAACCAGTTTTACGCAGGTAATACAAAATTGTACAGTGTGAGATGTTTTTCAACACAAGTTTCATTGAAATATGTAGAAAGATATTGCAGCATTTCAGGGGGTTCCGGTTGAGAAGGAAAACTATGCTCCACGTCAGTATAAGTAATAGCTTTCCAGATTATAGGTCTTTTTTGTGCCTGATGACTATTAGGCATTTCGAGAAGGCAGGAGTTTGCAGGTGGGGGTAAGTTTTCCTGATTTCTATGCTGTAGCTCTGTCAAACTTATATTTTGATCTGAGTCACTGTCGCTGTTATGGTTACCTGGTGGAATCTCTGAGGGTATATTACCTTCATCATCTAGTAGTCGAGGTAAATTGACAGCCGTTTCTGTCTCCTCATCCGATATGTCCAGGTCTGACTGACACCCATCTCCAAGCACATCTTGTAACAACTCGTAGTTTAGAGGTGGTCCTGAGAAAAAAATTCGAAGTTATTGGTATGAACATTTAACTTAAGGAAAACAATTAAAAACGACAACTCACGATCGTGCGTTTAAATTTCGCGGGCCGGTTACCATAATTAAAACTTATATAGTTGCTAGGATTATTTAACATTATTGTACGTGAACATTAAAATTAACTATTTTGATATGAATAATAATAAATATGATAAGTTATAATGAAAAATAATTTACTTACGGCGACCGTCTTGATCCACAAAGTGAACGTCCATCTTGAACGCGTCATGACGTGCCACTAATATCAAATATGCTCTACTCCCATCTCCCATAGTACCATACAACCCTCCGCATTATGTGGCGAAATCAACGCACAAACGATCGAAGTTGTTTTCACACGGTAAAATAAAATTTAGTACATAATCAGTACATTTTTTTTTTGAACATTAACGCACAATTAGTACAAGCCGTTCTGAAAGGGAGTAGACAGCCAGCCCCAACTTTTTTTACTAACTAACTTTAACTTTAAATTCAAAAAAAAAGAGGTCAAAATGCGTTTTCACCTTTAAGGACTAATATGGAATGCCTTACAACCTGTATTTATACTGGCTCTCTTCGGACCGAAACACAACAGTGCACAAATTGTTGTTTGTCAACGTATAAAATAGTGGTACCAGTATCTGCAACTCTATAGATTCCTTGGCATAAAAGGATTTCTACCGTATAAAATATTTATTTTGTATCGCAAAGATTTTTTTAAATATATTAATATCAAATGAACTTTAAAGATTGTGCATCAGTTTAAAGGTTAGTGACTTGGAAGTTAAATACAACGTAGAAATCGACAGACATTTCCTCCATCACCGTTGGTAAGAATATGTAATGTACAGGATACTACAAAATTTGTCACCCTTAGTTATTTTAAATATGTCCTCGGTATCATTTGATTATAATACCATTTAAGTATATATTTCATTCGCTTTAAATAATTACACATTCCCTTGTGTGAAAGTAATGCTTCACAATTTGCTTCGTCACTTTTCTGGTATCAAACAGCGGTGTTCGCTTTCCATAATTGTTTAGCGGTTCTGGAATTTTCCGGAGCTACCTAATTAGGCGGGTCGAGAGCACCATATTTATGTGCCGTACATACGTAACAAAAATTACGAAAGGATAAAATTATATATTTGAATTATTTTTTTTATTATATTTTAGACTACAATAGTTTTAAAAAATCTAACTTTTTTTACAGAATAATGCTGCAGAGCTAAGTCTGCTTGCTAATTTTAATATATGGGGGCGACATTGAACCTTTGCGTCTAGTGTAACTCCAAAAAAATGGTGGTATCGACAATTCTCAGCTCGTCCCCATTTAAATTTACATTAGTATTAACAAATTTGACATGTAGGGAAAAAAGGTTCTCGAGTGGCAGTCTCGTACCGTTAAGATAGGCAAAATATAGGACGACTCCAACTAGATGAGGTGACGGACCTGGTGAGACATGCAGGAAGTTGATGGATGCAGGTGGCTTAGGACCGTATTTTGTGGCATTATTTGGGGAAGGTCTTTGTTAAGCAATGGACTTGTGAAGGGCTGTAATGATGATTATGAATGTGAAAATGTGAAATTTTAATGAATTTTTTTGTGTGTGTTTGAGTGGTGGTGGTGTTAAAGTAAAAACTGAAGCCGGGGCGGATCTCTAGTGATTTATTAAAACATATTTTTGACTATGTCTTGAAACCAAAACTAGCCAATTTGTTATAATAACCACTATAAACTAAAATATATTCCTATGTAGATACACGCATGTGCTTTAGTATCTGCCCTTAATATTTTCAGCTTGATCAACTGTAAATTTGAAAAACTAACACACATAGTTGTGCACAATAACATATTAATGTTATATACATATAATTTGTTTACCAAATGTATTTATGACCCCAAAGGTGAACAACAGCAAGAATTAAAACGATTAAGGTATTCAGTCGGATTCCAAGGGATCATAAAGAGAGGGTCGGTGCTCGGTAATGTATTTGCATCTCATAAAGTACCATGAATATAGAATGAGACGGGAATTAAAAGGCGCTAGCTTTGTTGGCATTCTAGAAGATTTATATACTTTACTTTGAATTTAATATTTCAAGGTTTAAGATTTAATGCATAGTAAAAAAAACTTTTTAGTCATGAAACTGACTCTTACCAAATATTTCGTCTAATGTTTCGTCCTATGATTTAGTTTTATTACCCAATCCCTATGGAGCTATCCTTCCAAATTATGAAGATCGGAAGGGTCAATATATTAGGAGTATTTTAATTGTATACTCAGAATAAAACTATATTCTTTAAAGGTCACACAGGTTTACGCATCAACATTGACACATACTGATTTTGAAAATCACCGTCATCTCTGAATATTGGTTGGGTTGCTGGGAAACTCAACGCAAAAAGGAAAGTAGCAATAGCTTGGTTTACTTTCTCCTCTTACTAACTTCGTATAGAAGTCACTAATAACTATGAACTAAAATATTTTAAAATCAATTTTCTTTATATAATAATTTCTTGATAACAAACCCCATAACAGATTTTTGATACGACCCAAGGATTTGAACCTGGGACTTAATGATTAGCAATCACACTTACTATAGGCAGTTTCTGAGAATAAATGATTGTAAGTACGAATAGTCGTACACATCGTTCAAGCCGGAAAAAAATTTTTATAAGTAACGAACACACGCAAATAAACAAGTCTTATTCGGTGATGTGCTAGACGCCAGTCCGAGCCATGCTTCAATTGGAAACGTCTGTAGGCTAAATCACCCACTTACCATCAGGTGGACTGTGTGCTCGCTAGTCATCCTTATTATTTAAAAAAGCTGGATGAGAATGGTTCCAGCAGTTTACAGCACATATATTTTCTTCGAAATTTTACCATAACCTTAGCATAGTCATTGCCGGTCTTGTTTGTCTGGCGCATGTGGAAATAAAGCCCTTAATTTAGGCGAAATTTTGTCGGTGTTGCATTTTATTTACCTGTATTAGATTGATAAAAACTTTTAAAATAAAATAAAAATAACAATGTATAAATTTAAAATCAAATCAATATTACAAAATTCTTTATCCGGCATCAATTCTAAAAATTTACAATACATCGAGACAAAATAATATTTAATTAGTATATTGTAACTTAGTAAATTGTAAATTATTGTATAAATAATAGAACCAGGCGTTACTTTGCGGGAATTCATTATATTGAAGGTGATCACTATGATGGCACTGGTCAGCCTCCGCGGAGTCTATTTCTTCTGATGATGCCAAGTTCACAGGCGAGACACGTATCGTATTGTCGACGGAGCAAAACACATGCTGCCTTTTAAAGGAAGAGTGGAAGTTGCATGTTAAAATAGGTAAGATACATCATTTTTCTATTTTTACGCAGATCTTAGCTAACTTAATTAAATCTGAAAAAAAGGCCCGCTGAGTTTCTAGCTGTTTCTTCCTAAGACAGAATTTTTTTTAATTAAATTTATTAATTTAATTTGATTTTCTTGCAAAAAATTAGTGTTAAATGGCTTAATGAATTTTAATGAATTTACAAAATAAAGAATGATAAGCGAAGTATGTAAAACAAAAATATGACGTTTAACATAATATTTTGTTTTTAAAATAGTTTTGATAAGGTAATTATAATAACAATACTAAATACATTATGATATTGTCACAACGTTGTTTCTAGTTGCACGGTACTAAATTGTTTTAAGCCCTTAGCTCGACAATAGGCCAGGGGCCTAAGCGAACGTAATTAGAAAGCTTTACGCAATGACGGTAGTTAGTAATGTTTTACAGATGCTTCTGACGCCGTATTGTTAATGTAAAATTTTATATCAAAATTTTATAGCTTTATAATATTGAATTTGGAATTGTAAATCATTATGAAGTCGATCTTTTCGTTCAATTAAGGCCAAAAAGTTAATATAATTTAGGAGGGCGCGTTGGAGGTTTTACGTGGTAGAGCCATACTACAGCTACATTATGGTTATAGCATGAAAGGGTTAGTTCAACCGGGCAAGGGTTGTCCTTGGTCCCACAGAATACTTGTGTAAAATAGCAGCTTAATGCTACTGTGTTTTGTATGGTGAGTGTAGAGAATCTGAGGCCCGTTTCACTGGAAACGAGGCATTCAATCTTAGTCCTCAAAGGTAAAAACGCATTCATGTTGTGAATTTTAATTAAGGATGAATGTAGACGTCTAAGGGGCCACAGCATCTACTTACCATCATGTGGACTGTGTGTTGGTTTGTTACCCTTATTCTATAAAAAATAAGTGGAAAATGTTAAAAGAATATGAAAATGTTTTTCATTGGCTGATAATCTGAACTGCTAATTTTTGAAAACAAAAATAACATTTTTCATTCTATAATGTTTCAAAACTAAACATTTTGTTATATAAATATGCGTCATTTTTATTTATGGTTTTAATTTGTAGGTACATAATATTTTGAAATTTATCACCAATAGGGCGTCGAATTAGGCCGGCATGTCGTTGAATTAGGCCGTAATTGTTGCTTAAAAAACTTTACTTTTTTGGTTCTATAAAAACTTCGATACTTGTTCCCTATATACCAGAACTTTATTGTATAAGATTGTTTTCGAGTAATGTATCTAGTATAAAATGTTTTTTAACACTATTTCATTCATTAAAAGCGTTTTTCCAGGATTTTTTATCGTAATGGTACTCGATTTTAAATGATTTTCTTTTTAGAGTAATTTTTACTAACTTTCATTTTAGAGTAAGTTCTCTTCATTGAATATCTTGATCTTTGTCGTAACAAATACAAAGATTGTATTTTGAACATTTTTGAACATACCTATATAGTATGCCTTCTTCAAGAATTGTGTACCAAGGCGGGGTTCCCAGCTCTCGTTTTATGTTTTGGAGGATTATAGATTAATGAAGCTCGTAGGATAAAAACAAAGGATATCATGTTATTTTCAATAAAATGCTGGTATGGTATCATTTTAACTGATTTTACTTGAAAATTAAGGACTGTTCTGGCAGCCCTAGTCCTATCTTACCCACATTTGTCGACTGCTTGTCTAACTAGGTCATCTCACCACTAAATTGTACTTGCCAGTAAATATCGTCTATTTAGAACATTTCTTTCCATCAGTTTTTAGTTCTTCAAGCTAGGAAATTGTTAGTGATCGTTAGATTACGTACGTTCATCTTGTTCTAAAGCAAGATATGTATCAGATATATTCAGATACATGAAGTTC